AAGAAATTATCCATGCACGCGTCCATCCGTACCATAAATGTAGAGGATTGTGGACATTGCAATTATGCAGACAGGCAAAATCAGCCCCTGAAAAGTACTTTGGATAGCTACATAATTTTTACCAGGTTCAGCTCCCAGCATTTCCTTTCAGTGCCCAACCATTTTAGAACTAATAAAAAGGTAAGCTTTTCCCGCGATTCTCTTGGGAAATAAACACCATTTATAACTAAAATGGAGTGGATGTTTGTGCTTGTAGTTTGAGAATTGAGATGGGGACAGTGGGTGGTTTTGGGGAGAGGGCGGTGTTGAAGAGCTGGGCGCAGCAGACTGAGGAGAGTTACCAGTTGCAGCATGCGCTGGTCTTGCGCCTCTCTTCACTGTCTGCTTCCGCTGTTGACCCAAATTTCTTGACTTTCGGTTCTGATGTTGATCATAGTAATCGATCTTTCTCTGATTCTCCAGAGGCTGTGTCTTATCGATTCTGGGTATGATTTTTCCTCCTTTTCCATTTTTGGAAGCTTAAAATTATTTGCTTTTATCTGGTTTTCGGGGATTTTTAGTATCTGGCTTCTGTAAGCATTCTTTTGATTCTATGATACGTGAAATCAAGAATGCTATTAAATTGGTACTTACTTTTTATGGATATCTACTGCTGCATGTATTTTGATAGAGTTCTTTTGTTTCTGGGAGCCAGGTAAATGGCAGTCTGTCATATAATGATAGAATTCCAAATGGGTTTTACCTAATCCATGGGATGGATCCATATACATGGACAATAAGTTCTGATCAGCAAGATGGTTGGATCCCATCTTTTGAATCATTGAAGGGTATCCATCCTCGTGATGATTTGCCAATTAATGTGGTTTTGATTGATAAATCAAGGGATCCTGGTTTAGAGGAACTGCAAAATTGGGTTCTCAGCCTTTCTAATGGCAGGAGCAGCATAGAAAATGTTGTTAATCAGCTTGCGGGACTTGTCTGTAATAGACTGGGGTCAGTTCTCATCCACTTCCTTCATGATTCTTGTTTATGATGTATGCAGTTCTTGTGAACAAAATTTTTTGGCGGTGACCAGGGGTCTGGCCTCTACTGAAGAAGGAGTTTATAGACAGTGGATGAAGTCCACTGATGTTCTAATGCTGAAAAACTGCCAAGGCTCTGCTGTTCTTCCTATTGGAAGCCTGCCTGTTGGCCTCTGCATCCATCGAGCATTACTGTTTAAAGTAGATCTCTTCAACCAATTTAACTGTAACTTTGCTTGCCTATGATTATGAAATTAACAAATAATCAAAAAAATTTGTAGGTGTTGGCAGACTCGATTAATCTGCCATGTCGAATTGCTAAGGGTTGCAAATTTTGCACTAGGGAAGATGCTTCCTCGTGCCTTGTTCGATTTGATTGTGACAGGTAGAACATCTTGACGTGCTTAAACATGAATAAATACTGTTAAATTTCTTTGAAAATGTAAAAACTTTTGTAGTTGATGGGAGCTGTGTTATTGTATAATTTTCCAGGGAATATTTGGTTGATTTGTTTGAGGAGCCTGGAGCTTTAAGCCAGCCTGATTCCTCACTTAATAGTATACCTTCAATCACAATTTCTTCACCATTATGCCATCCAAGGTTTAAACCAGTCAAAACTGCTACAAACTTCAGGACATTGGCTAAACTATATTTCTTTGACAGTCCATCATATAAACTTGCATTTGGCGATTCTTCCTCAGGTAACAAACACCAATGAGACATGTAGACTTCCCCTCTCTCCATTTTTCATGAGTGCTTAAAACGTGGAACAATCCTCCTTATAATGCTAATTATTTTCTGTGTAAATATAGTTGTATTGGTGTGAAACTAATAGTCATGCATCTAGTTAGGAGACTTATTTCAGTTTTTCCTTGTGTCATAATGTTTTCTACAAGAACTATTGAGTTGTTGTTGCCATCAAGAATTATGTTTTATGTCCTAACACAAAAAGGAAAATGTAAAGTATGAGCAGGCTTGTCAATTGTAGCACCTGATGTCATTTACCTTTAGAGAGTCTGACCTTTAATTTTTACAGATAGTGCCAGATGCCAACACGATCAAACTGATCCAAAGCCCCCTAAATCTGTCTACTCAGCAAACTTGGATGGAAGTCCTCATCTGCTGAGTTTTGGCCCACCAATTGGGCAAGATATTTCTTGGGGTGAACTTGTCTTAAAGGAGAAGCTCGGAGTAGGTATTTGTTATATGCTCTGAAGGAGATTAATACTGCATGGATTCAACTTTGTTTTTTCTTTTCATGTTTACATATTTAAAGATAAAACTTAAAGGACACCACTAAATGCTTCCTCAGGTTCTTTTGGAACCGTTCATCGTGCTAATTGGCATGGTTATGTGAGTTCTTTCTCCCTTTCCACTAAAAGTTTATATTCTCAATTCCCCTCAACCTAAAAATTAAAAAAAAAAAAAAATGTTCTCATTTCATTTTGTTTCTGTGCTATAACTTCTTCTGTACACCATCATATGTTTTGTTTCACAAGTTATTCATTTCATTGTATTAAGCATGTAATTGTTAGGAAGTTGCTGTGAAAATTCTTGAGGAGCAAAATTTCTACACAGAGCGCTTTAGGGAGTTTTTAAGAGAGGTATGGTTAAGCTGGTTTCTGAAATCTGATGATGGATGAATGTGGAAGCGATCAAATATCTAGTTCTTCTTTACGAACATTTATTGATCTTCTCCTCCCCTTTTAATTTTTGTTCCTAGGTTGCCATCATGAAATCTTTGCGGCATCCTAACATTGTTCGCTTTTTGGGTGCTGTAACTCAACCACCAAAGTTGTCCATTGTTATGGAATATTTATCAAGGTATTGAGATTCTCACATTCCAATTAAAGTTTATCAGGCCTTCCTAATGCACCTAATATGTATGTTCTTTGGATTGCAGAGGCAGCTTATATAAACTTCTTCAGATGCCAAACACTGCATTTGTACTCAATCTGACATGCCGCTTGAATATGGCTTACGATGTGGTATGCCTCCATGGGTTTCTGTTGGAAAAGTAACTCTGTTCTTTATGAATTAGTCTCCAATTGTTTCAGACTATTCATATTTTCATTTATGCTGAGGCATTTATTGCTATGTACAGGCAAGTGGAATGAATTATCTTCATCAGCTTAGGCCACCCATTGTTCACCGAGATCTGAAATCTCCAAACCTTTTAGTGACTGACAACTATACAGTTAAGGTAAGTTTTGAAACTCATTTTTCGAACTTCAGCATTGATTTGGTGGTGAACTAGATTTATTGTTTACTGCTGTGCTAAATTGAGATGGCATTGTGTTCAAATTATACTAAATCATGCACATGATATTCCAGGTCTGTGATTTTGGCCTTTCCCGTTCAAAGGCAAACACATTTCTTACATCCAAGACAGGTTGTGGAACTGTAAGTTTATTTAGACTTATAAACCATTTGTTATGCTTCTGTATTTGTTTGAGGTTGTTTCATATGCTAAACTTTACCATTCTTGTCTTGCTACCAGCCAGAGTGGATGGCACCAGAAGTTCTTCGTGATGAGCCATCAAATGAAAAATCTGATATTTACAGCTTTGGAGTGGTTCTATGGGAACTTGTGACTCTGCAACAACCTTGGAAGCATTTAACCCAACTTCAGGTTGTTTATTTTTTATTTATCTATCTCGCATCACTCTTAATGGAGTTTTAAGAAAAATAATTCTTTTGACTTGAGACTCATGCTGTTTTTGCAGGTTGTAGCAACAGTTGGTTTTAAGAATAAAAGACTTGAGATCCCGAGCAGTGTAAACCCGGGTATAGCCTCCCTGATTCAGCTCTGTTGGGCCAAGTAAGTAAACAGTTATATTTTTCAACTTAATATTTGTACGAGGTGAAAGTGAAACCTTAGGCAGGAGCCAAAGGACCAAAAACATAACTTGTATGCATGCACTGGTTCTGTCTATCTGACTATCAGTCTCCACCTCACTCCCGTATTCTGACGCTAGCTGGACCTTTTCCTTAACTGCAGTGAACCCTCAGGACGGCCTTCTTTTTCCTACGTGATGGAATCATTGCAGCAATTGATCAGGAATTCAACATCTCAAGAACTTCATGCGCGAACTTGGTGATTGACCTGTGAGTCTAAACCCCAGTAGAAATATCTGTATCTAGCTATCTATACAAGTAAACACGTAAATCTGCCTAATTATACTCTGGTGGTTGCAATCCTGAGATGCATCTCACAGGTTAATTAATCTATCTCATAAATCGGTCATTATGTGTCAATTGGCTCATTTTCTTTCCTTTGCCTTTTTTATTGCTTATTTAACCTTGAAGTAACCGGAGTCTAATACCCTATTTATATATTGTCGGCCAGGAAAACACTTTTCATACTGGGCCTATCAATTTAAAGTCGTCATGTTTCATGAATACATTTGTTTCCCACCAATAATTTTGGGGAGAATTGTCGGGGACCTTGCTTTTTCTTTAACAAGTTTCGTACTATTTCATTAATTGAGTAACAAAAAACACATTTTTGTGGAATATCCCACTCTGGTCCAATGGAATGGAAGTTGGGTAGAGCCCGTTCACTATAAGTTCTTTTACGTGATGTGTTCGAATTTCACAAATATTATTTTTTATTTCTTCACTTAATTAATATATGTAATTAGTTTTAATAACTTATTTTTGCTGTTTAACCATGCTGGACAGAAGAACGTTTGCCTGTTAAGACGATGATGGATACCTGATGATAGGTGCTGGGTAGCGTGGGTCCCTCCATTGTACTAGACTCCAAGTAATGGGGAATTATTAGAGGGGAGGGCGCTGGAGT